CAGGCACTGCCTGGCTGGGACGCAGGGCACAGGTATGGCTTGTGGGGTGCGGGGGGCAGGGAGGGGGGGGAATGGCCCCTGCCACTGCTGTGCAAGGCGAGCAGGTGGCCTGCAGCTTTGGGCTGAAGCTGGGCTTGGAGCAGGGCCTACAGACGAGGCTGCAGCCACCGAAAATTTCGCCATAACTCCCTCCCAGTGCCATGCACCTAGCACAGCCCCGTCTCTTCCTGGCTCAACCTCCACCTCCTCCCATGTGCCAGGAAGAGCTGGAGCTGTCAGGCGTGTGGCAGCAGTGCTGGGAGGGAGCCGCCCAGCCTCCTGATGAGCCACACCTCTGTCCCACGCCCCACATGGGGGGAGGCAGAGGTTGAGCCAGGAAGAGCCAGGGCTGTGCTAGGTGTGCATTGGCGCTGAAAGAGAGCTATGGTGAAATTTGGAGTGGTTATAGACCCCTCCATAGCCCCTGCTCTAAGCCCAGCCCCCAGAGAGAAGAGCCCGGCTCCAGCCCGCCCGCTCACCCTGTGCAGATCTGGGGGCACATGCGCCCCACCCCCCTCCCTGCCCTCCCAGGGTGCACATAGCAGTAGGAGCCACACTCCCCACAAGCTGCACCTCTGGCTGAGCAGCACCTCCCCCCGCCCCCCCTCCTGCCCTGCGGGGGGGGGAGGGGTGTTGATCTGCGCCCCCCGCCTCCTCTCCTTCCACCACACCAGACTTACCAGCTGGAGGCAGCTTTTCACGCTGCCAGGCTGTGCTCCTCGATGCCTGAGTGCTGCACTGCAGCTGCACGCACACACTAGAATTTATCGGCCAAATTATCTGCCTCATCAAATAGTGTTAATATGCTAGTGTGCAGTATTATTACGCTACTGCGAAGCAGTGTCACTAAAAAGACATGCACCAGCACTACTGCACAGTAATGCTGTTTATTGCGTTCTGATTTAGAACTTGATTATACAAGTACTAAACTTAATGTGTAGTAACTACAGTGCATTAATGAACGTGTAGATGCACTCCCTATGCATCTATAGATGGTCCTTTACCACATTCTGTCCATCAATTATGGACATATGTGCTATCTCTTCATTAAAGAAAATAAATGTGTCTGTTTTTATCCTACATATACTGGCACCAGCACTGCTACTGCATCATGCTACACACATTTTCATTGTTAACTCTAAAAGGGTCCATGCGGCCTGCCAGGCAAACTGTGGATGAGCCAAGGAGTCTAAAAGCTTAGCAGCCTTGACTCTACTATTAAATACTTTTTCCAATAGCCTGTGCTGAAAATTCACCCTGGGGCCCGAGAGCCAAGCTAGGCTTCATTCCTTCTTCTGCACTAACAACATTAAAAATCCTGTAACCTAGGTTAATCACTCTGTTACCCCAGAGTGTGGGGCCAGGGCGTAGGGCAGAGCTGTGATCTGCTTTCTGTATACCCATCTGCAGAACTGGAACCCACTGCAGGGACGTGCAAGCAGTGGATCATGGCTTTGCCCCAGCCCTGCGCTGTCACCAGCCCCTGATCCCAGCCCTTGCCCTACCCATCCCATTCTGGGATGCTGTTTCCCGCCCACCCGCACCCCATCTGAGTAGGAAAAAGAGCCACTTACGGCGTTTTAGTGAGTTGTGTGCAGGGAGCAGGATACTGACCTGGTCTGCAACAGGTCACCAGAACTCCCTGTGTGGCCTTTGGGTCCAAATAACTGCCCACTGCTGAGCTAGGTGTGTGGCTAAAATTAGATGCTAACCTAGAAGGAAGCAGGCTTTGGCCTGTTGCCTAGGGCCTGTTTTGAATGAGGCAGAACTTTTTCATTACATGGCATTTTCCAGCTAAAAACTACTAAATACAAGAGACTGTGGCTCAGCCTCCAAAGGAAGGATGCAGAAAGGACTGGATAATGCCTGACTTATGGGGTGGTGGTTAGAGCACCCTATTAGGAAGCCAAAGACACATAGGTTCAAATTCTCATGGACAAGTGGGGGTGGGCTGAGAACCCAGGTCTTGAGTTTTCTAAGCAAGTGCCCTAACCACTTTGCTAAAGGAAAGAAGGCCTCCCTGCCATTTTTCTAGGACATATGCTCAGATATATGTACAGAAGCATGTAGCTGTATATCTGCCTGGCCAGTGTGTAGCCCAGCACATGCTCAGTCTACATGTACGGGTTTACACCCTACTAAAGCACAAAGTGAGTGCAAAAAAGGAACAGGTAGACAGCTTGAAAGCTGAAATTTTGATACACAAAGGGAAAGAAAATGTCATCTTTAGACACCCAGTAGATTGAACAGAAGCTGGCTCTAGGGATCTATATAAACAACACTTTTAAAATGGCCAGGTTATAAATGGCCACACTGGTTCTCACATCCTCAATTCAGTTGATAATGCAGTGACAGGTATGATTGTTCCTCATGTGAGCACCTGAGCTCACTTCCAATTAGCTAGTTCAAATACTGAGAGTAGTGTAGCTGCGGCACCATGGATTGCAAAGCTGGGTAATACTAGGGCAATTAGTTTGCGCTGAATTCCATTCTCCTATGGCACCACTGCTAGAAGTACCAGAGCTTGCTAGTTTAAAGCTAATCCAGCTACATCTACCCAAATCTTTAGTCACAACTTACTTTGCCATATTTATATACCAACAAAATGCCACTCAGAAGCAACAGAAACTCTGAAAGCATTTTTGACAAGTGTCTACTTCCAAAGGCCTCAGCTAATTTTAGATGCCAAGTGTTAGACAGTTGGGGCTTGATTCTCTGGAGTAAAAAGTGATGGCCTGCTACAACAGCAATACTCAATGGCAGTTCTGGGTGTTCAGAACTTGTGAGAATTTGACCCAAAAACCTCAAATTGGGTACCCAAAAATTGAAGAACTTAAAATTAACAGACTCTTGAAGATTTAAGCTGAAATTTATGTGCTGCCTTTTGTGCCCAAAGCGTAAAGCAAGGACCAAAAATAGCCAGGTAAATGGCTTGAAAGCTGCCATTTAGACACACAAATGGAAACAGAATTTCATCTTCAGACTACATTGATAGTAAAGGAGTTGGCTCTGGGTGTCTTTTTTTTTATTTTTTATTGTGAGCTCCTTGTATCCATCCATAGCAAATGCAGAGATCTGTGCACACAGAAACAGTCTACTTATCTATAATATAAGGACTGCTGAAATCGTAATTTGATGGAGAATTAACTCTGTCAAACACTCTGTTCCTCAAAGGCCCCTAACTACTCTCTACGTCTCCAACAATGGAAACATAATTTGGGAACTGATGTAAAAATGGAAGCCTTTCTATTGACTTCAGTGGGCAATTAATTAGGCTAGTACGGTAAGAGTTATGAGATCAACTTAAAACCAAACTAAGATATAAAATAAAAGACGACACCTCTTTACAAACTCTCCACACTTCCACCCTGAAGGCAGGAGGAATAATTGTATGTAACAGTAAAGAGTTATTTTGCAGTGTTTGCTGTACATAAGACGCACCATACTGGGTTAGACCAATGTTTCATCTAGCCTGGTATCCTGTCTCCAACAGTGGCAATAGTGGATGCTTTAGAGGGAGACCACTAAACCAGGTATATCTAGTGATCTATCCCTCTGATCATTACCCTCCCTGGCATTTACCATCATTAGAGATGCCACAGGAAACATCTTCGACTGTTCTGTAAGTTATGTAGGCCGTGCAGAAACATTCTTGGCAAAATGGATTCCTGAAATCATGGCTACTGGTGCTTCACAAAGGGGCTGGAGAGAGCTTGCCTTCTTTTAGCTCTGACATACCAATTTTCATTCAGGAAATACTGGGTTATATGCATAAGATAGACTAACATATGTGATTTAACCTTACAGGAAACATAATTATTCTGTAGGCTATAGGAAACAATGCAAGGACAACACAGGGCAGGTTAAATCAAATGCTGAAGTATACTGTGTAAAAGCACACCTAACCCATTCCCTCTCTTCCCTCCCTCCCCTTTTAACCTTTTTTTATCTTTTTTAATTAAAAGGGTGGTATTCTGTGCTAGAGAAGATACCTAGATATATCGGACTGAGTCTCAGATCTTGATCAGCCAGCTCTTGTTAGCTAACATTGATTTTCTGCCCCAGTGGAAGTGATTTTACTCTGATGCATGCTATTTAAATTCATTTTACACAGTTGCTTAATGTGGCTTGGCAAGAAACAGGCAAACCAGCTTTCTATGTCTAAATGGCACTCCTGAGTTGGTAAAGGACAGATCCTGGGGATTAGCAGCTGAAGATAAATGTTTCTTCCCCCACTGATATTTCGCTACTGATTCAAGGAGCTGACCTTGAAGGGACCACAGCCAATTTACACATAAGGACTGCCATGTAACTATAATTGGGACCTGCTCATTTTGTTTCCTTATAACTCTTTATACAGAAATACCTTTTAAAGGAATAAAGAACCAATATGTAACACTCCTCAGCAAGGGGGACTGAGAGAAATCTTTCAAACATACTCCTTCAACTATGATGAAGTTAGACCTTTTGTAAGAGCCATTAATAAATTCTGTCATCACTTTTGCAATAAGTCACCTGTCAAAAAAAGGGATGGTGCTAGTAATGTCAACAACAGCAACAACAGCAGCAACACAGTCATGAAAACAACATTGCACAGCACTGTTCCTAGACATAAATGACAACAGCGATGTGGAGGAGGGGGAGAAATGATGCCTGGAGTGGGAGAGATTTCATTCTTTTTGAGTGATGAAGTTCTTCATTTCCCTCTCAGGCATGAAGGAAACAGAGCCATGCTGAAAGCCATGCAGGGCATACGTGAGTGAGTGACATGCAAATTTTCATCATATTGTCATGGTGGAGTTAGTAAAAACAAAAATAAAAATCAAAGCCCCCTCATGATGCAGATATGTATAATTCTTTCACTTGATTTTGTATTCCTTCAGCAGCCAGATGGCATGTTCATAAACATTAAAAAAAATTGCCAAGGTCCCACAGCAAATCCAGTTTACATTGCTACCTACCCGTACTGATCAGGCTGGTGCATCATGGGAGCCTGAGCGTTGCCATAGTTGGGGTGCTGTGAAGAAAACATGGGGCGTCCGCCAGCCCCAGACTGGCTGGGATAAGCAGGCGACCTAATGTATGGTGGCCTAAAGCAGAACAAAAGAACAGCTTCTTTGGATTTGCTCTGTATCACAAGTAGGAATCACTCTGCCAACTATATTCCTTCCATATAAAAGTATGGAGGGTTTGTGGAACAGCCAAAAGCCATAACGCTTATTCCCATACAATGAATAAAATTGAAGAGAGGGAGGCTATGTTTTAAACTCTTCGGCATAAGAAAGGATGGATAGATTTCACCTCATTTGTACTCCTTTTGCAATATTTGCAAGAAAGTCCAGATGATCCCATGCTCCTGTTACAGGTATTGGATCACTAGCATGGGCAGTATGTGATGAAAAGGCTTTGAAATGGTGCATTTTGACCAGGCAAAACTAAAAACTGAAAGCAAGTCTTACAAAACTGACTTGGGAGGAAGGCATGTGGTAGTAGCGGGAAATCTATTAACTTGGTTCTTAATCTAACACCAGGCACTACTGCCAGAGTATAAAGTGAATCACAACCATATATTTTTCTTTTATTACAATCAATTATTTTCCTTTTAATTAAGAGCAAACATACTTATGCTAATATAAATAAAACGCTCCTGCAGTTGCAGCACTGGCCCATTCATTCTTCCCTGTCCAACCTACTAGACTATACCAAAAAGCAGACTGAAAGAACCAGATTTTTGTAAGTCTTAGGCTAAAAACAGACAACGAGCTTGATTTGGATTTGAGCACTTTATTTGGCAGCAAACCCCAGACCTTACAGAAGGACAAGCACACACTGTCCCACAAAAAGTACCTGTGAATTATCCAAATTAATATTTTGCCTGGAAACAATCATGGCCAATTCAAATAGATTGCCATTTAACCCTCCTGTGTAAACCACTGTGCCCTGGACCAACACTGGATTAAACTAGGTGCCTGTTTTTAGCCTTACTAAAGATGCCCCTTAAAACAATCAAGTCAAGCAGAACTGCTGGTTCATAGACTTCCACAGGAGCCTAATCTGCTTAATTAAAAGGTAGTGTGGTTTTATTTTACTACAAGGGAAGATAAAAGACTCAATATATTATTTTAAAGAAGTTTCCCTAACACTTAGCACCACCTGCATTTCAAACCCACAAAACAAGAATAATATATAAAGAACCAGTTTAGTTTCCTATTTCTTTCTGACATCCATCTTCAAATTATTGCATCTCACAACTACCAAAAACTCTTTTATAGGCCATACATTAGTGTTATTTTATAAATACATATATGTATACTAAGGATGTGTATGTGTGCGCACGCATGTATATAGAAATATGCTTAATATACAAATGCATATAAACTTCCATACATATGACAATGGAACCAGCTTGTAATAACCCTCAGGTATAAATGAAACTCCTTTTGCTAGTGAAACAGTAAAAGTACCAGTAACTGTTTCAATCCAGTGAAACATGGGATTTTCTTCTATTAAAAATGTTCTGAGAAAAAACATCTTTGCTGCAGACACTGAAGCTAGGTACAGACATTCAAAAAGCCTGAGGCAGGATTGATCTAAGTTACGTGGTTTTCTGTAAGTGGTATAGTTTAGATTGGCAGTGAACAGAACACACATTCACCCTTTGGTGTGTGTTTGGGGGGGGGGGTGGCAAATTTTAGACTGGGGCCATTATTTTTAAGCCAGTCTGTATGTGCCAAACTTCAGTTCTGTTATGGGTATAGACTGGTTTCTGATCACTTACACTGGTAAAATGTAATGTCTGTACCTGGCCTTAGGCACCTTAAGATTACTTAAGAGTTCAACTACTGCTTTGCCACAACCAAATGAACACAGGACAGCATGTAGCTGCACTGCTCTCAGGAGTACAGGAAACAGGCCTGTGACTAAGGGCACTTATACACATGACGGATCTCTGCCCTGACATGTGCTAATTAGGTTGAGTAGGTTGGAGTGTACTAATGAGCCCGCTTCAGCAGCCTCTGTATCACATGTATTCAGTGTTCTCACATTTCAAAATGGTGGCAAGAGCGCTTCATCTAAAGCTCAAATGAGCTTTAGTTAAAGCACCCCCAATGCCATTTTTAAGTGCAGGATGCTGAATACATGTGATGTTGTGGGTGCTTTAATTAGAGGACCTTTCAGAGCTGCTCTAATTAAAGCGCCCCCCAGCTCTACCTTGGAGCATGCGTATAGACACCCTAAGAATTTATGGCTACATGGAACAATGCAGTCCTACCTGAGCTAGCTTTGAACTGTAATGAGTTTATGTGCTGAAGGCAGTATACCCAGAGTAATATGTTACTCTGCTTAGGATTATTAGCCTGAGCAGAGTTGCACCAATGTGGCTATAATGCTTCTGATACCTCAGGTTAGCTTGTTCAGAGATACCTTGAGTTTCTCTACATGGCACTGCTCCGTGGTTAGACTTGGCAAAGACTGCTTCTCCTTCTTTGCCAGCTTAGCTGTGCTGGCATTTGTGTTGGGGAAAAGCCAAAGGCCTTACAATCCTACAGCCTGCCTTCCCACCTACGTAGGAAATGGGAACTTTGGGAAATTAAACCCTCGCCTTGTGCAGCTAACATGGGCAGTAAATACAGGAACACATTACTGCAGGAGAACACATTCTAGCCCACGGGCAGGCAATTATTTTGGGTGGAGGGCTGCTTAGTGAGTTTTGGCAAGCCATCGAGGGCTGCATGACAGGCAGCCAGGGGCAGATAAATATTAATTTTCTAATCTTTTTAGGGGCCCTGCAGGCTGGATAAAATGGCTTGGCAGGCCGCATCTGGCCAGTGGGCCACATTTTGCCCACCCCTGTTCTAGCCCTATAGCAGCTACAGAAGAGGGCTTCATTGGATATATAAACAATCTCAATTTTATATTGCAAGGGCTTGGGCTTGGCTCTTGGTGTCACTATAACCTTGGGAGCTTTCCCAAAAGCCCACAGAATTAGAAACCATATTGGAAATGGCCAATCATCTCCACTGTCATATTTGTTCTTTGCAAGGACAGTTTACAAAAATGTAATAGTACTACATGCTCCCCTAACATTTAAGCCATTTGTTCTTTCACATCCTCCCTTGTCCCAGAAGGGTTAAGGCATATTAATATGTAAATATACATACACATCACTGTTATATTCAGAGCTTCTGGATTAATACAAAGTATCTTTCCATTTATTTAAAATCCTTTCACCTAGATGGCATACCTGCTCTGAGCGGAGTTTGCAGCAGCCTGCATCACTGCAGCAGCTGCCTCCTGTGCCTTACGGTTCACAGTTGGCATTGGTGGGCCCATGCCCGGACCTCCCTGCTGAGACATGCCAGGAGAATTGGGGGTCATACTGCTCATGTTTCCAGGAAATGGTCTGCTCTGCATCCCAGCTGATGGCATCCGTCCCAGGGGCATGGTTCCACAAGGCTGGCTTGGCCCCTGTCCATGCATCTGACTATTGGCATTTATACCCATGCCAGGTCCTGGGCCACTGTAACTCGTGTTGGGCACCCCACTGTATGTTGGTGGTCTGGAATAATTTCCTGAATAAAAAAACAAGCACAGAGAAAAATGTAAATTTTTGATTCAGTGTTTCCACTTCAGAAGTTGCCTGCTGGAAAATCCTTTGTACAGTTAAATAAACTGAGCATCACAGGACACACGTAAGAATTTCTAATAATTCTTAGCACATTACTTCCCATATTTGTCAGCCAAAAATTATTTAGGATAGTGAGAATATAGAAGTGCACATCCTCCCAAGTGTTAACATGTGTTGTCCAGAAATGTGTCATTCACCAAAGAGACACCTGGCATAAAATAAGTTCATTATATACATTCATTTCTAGTTCAGCTTCTTTCTTTTCTTTTGTCATTTCACAATCTGAGTTTTCATCCTCCTGTAATTCTACCACAGGGGTCTTTACATTAGAGTCCTGCTACTAAACATTCTGCTCTGGCCATTCTGTTCATTTATAACAGATAAATGTACCAGTGCTGACCCCTTCCAAGGTCTTTAAGAAACTTTCCACTCCCCTTCTCTCTTTCAGATGCCAGGCAGAACTCAGTGTCCTACCAAGTTCTTCACTGTACTTATCAGCTATTCAGCGTTTCAAATGTTCACTCTTTCTCCACTCTAGCTGTCCGTCATCTAGCTGCTGTCCTTAAACAATTGTGCTGTTTATGATGCAGAGGACTGTTTGAGATTCTGTGGACTATAGGCATTTATACACATACATTTGTCTGCTCCAACATGGAGATCTGGCGTGTTGGAGCAGATTCTATTAATTGAGTCTGCTCCGCATGAGAGCTGATGCACCCGGTGCTGCATTGCATGCATTTGTATAAATGGTGAAATGCTCATCGGTGCTGAGAAAATGGTGATGGTACACTTTTGAACTAAAACACCTTTGATACATTTTAGTTCAAAAATACAATGCCACCATTTTCTCAGTGCTGATGTGCATTTTGCTATTTATACAAATGTATGCGCTGCAGCGCTGGGTACTTTTAAAAGCGCCTGGCACTGCGGTGCAAGCATGTGTACAAATGCCCTATATGCCTGTATGTGATTTCTGAGGCATAAAACCCTGCACGATTTATAGCTGTCCACTAAAAATACATACCTAGGACACATGTTAAAATGTACCAGGTATCCCACAGAACTGGAGTATGGCTCTCAAACACATAATTACGCCCAAACATTAATACCTCTCTCTATCTTTACCTGAAGTCTTTCACAGCTGCATGAGGTAGAAAAAGACTTAGTATTTAATATAACATTTTACATATGCCAATTTTTAAAATTTTTTTATTTTTTACAAACATTAATGAATCTTCAACAATATCTAAGCCAACACACTTTCCTCTTTATATTTAGACAAAAAATTATTCTGGAACACCTTCTTCATTTTAAGTTGGTATGTTTATGATTTGGCAGCATCAAGAAGCAGTTTATTACTTAAAGGGTATATCTATGGTAGGAAACAAATACACTTATTACAACAGTAGTCAGCAACAGCACAAAGTTGTGCAGGTAAAAAGGACTTAAGCGTTTAAGAGCCCAGTCTGCAGTCCAAATTACACTCTGGCTACTGCTGATGTGGCTGTATCTTTTGCAGCAGCTCTGGTAATTTGACTACTAATTTTCCTATTGTACTTAAGGCCTAGGAGGAAATGATAGTACACTATTCAGTTTATCTACATAAAAATAAAAATAATAATAATAATAAAAAGACCATGAGAGAAGAAAAGATGGACTTGATAGAAAAGCATTTTAAAGGAATATATATTTAAAGGAAAAGCCCACATTTCACTGACTTGTTCATCAGCTTTGCAATATCTTTTCCCATCACCCCCAAGTGACTGGAGATACAGCTCAATTCCTCCCTAAGCGGTAACTCAGAGTATCATGCCCTGACTCTTCCCCAATATCCCCATGCTTATTTAAAGGATACAATCCAGTGAAGTCTTCCTCTGAAATCAGGAACTAAGATGTTCCTTTACCCACCCTGCTGCCCAACAGGGAAATGGAATACAATACTTCCCCCACCCCACTCCTGTTTATATTAAAAAAGAAACTTATTCAGTCATTGTTTGAATGCACGTGCAATTAATTTATACAATCATGCTGTTTCACTCTATCTTGTTCACCCCACCTGCTCACACTGCCACTCATAAGTGACTCATTTGGTAACAAGCTTTCGACAGTGAAAACATATGTGACCTATGCTTTCCAAGGAAATTAAATAACACTTTACTCTTGTTTTAGAAACCAAGTATTTATGTGTGGTTGTTTCATAGAAGGATCCCCACAATGCAGCTGAGCAAGTATGACAATCTCCAGATGTAGCTGTACTCTGCATTCAGTGTCCCATTACTTTTTTTCATCCTTCAGTCATAGACACTGTCAACTGACATTTCTGTTCAGCGAGCAATCACTCTTGAAGATAATCTTGGTGATTGTTGCCTCTTGCAGCCATATTTCTCCAGTCAAAATCAGGTGGCCACCAAGGGAAGAGCTTGTTAGAATTTTCCATTTTCTTGCTTAACATTAAGCTGGTAACACAGCACTCAGCTACTACTCCAGTTTTCAGACTTCCTGGTATCAACAAGACTTATGCAATAGGGTGGAGGCAAAGCCACACAAACACAATGTATAGCATACAAATGCATATTGCAGGCACACTGCACATAAAACACTTTCCAACCAAGAGCAAGTTCAGCCCTTGTATTATAATACATAGAACTCCCACAAAGGCAATGGGAACAACTGTTGCTTCAGCTTATATCCAGGTTGAATCTTGCTTCAAATTTGTATCTTTCTTATTTCTCTTCCTCTCGCTCTTTCATCAACTGGATTTGACAGAGCAGCATTCAACAGCAGACGGGAGGACCAAGCATCATTGTTCTATTTTGACGCTATATTATATCACGGAGAGAACATTTCTACTTCTCTCTTTTTCTGGCTTCTGCAATTAAAAATCACACACAAAAACAGAGGAATCTTCTCCATAAACACATGTGGCTCAGTTAAAATAGTTTCTAATCCTTCATCTCCAGGGCAAGTGTACAGGGCAATGATATCTTTTCAGAAAGGAAAACACTTTTCAATGTTTGTTCCGCTGGTTTTTGTTTGTTTGTTTGTTTTGCTAAGCATTTCCCCAGTCCTATAAGTACTGGCTATTCTTACACCTTTCCCAGACCATAAAAAAGGCAAAAATAAAAGCCAAGCAAAATATAAGAGAAAAAGCCAGGGATGAGGAGTGCAATCTTATTTCCATGTTTCTCTAATAGATTAGTAATTTGTTGGCAGTGGCTTTGACAGAAAACAGATGGATGCAGCATTAAACACAATGAATGCAGCAGATGCTGGGCCAGCCCACATCAGCTGGACATGTCAGGCAGCCAAGTCCAAGAGCCCACCCTTTTCAAGTGGGTACAAGCCTGGCACAGTAGCTCTGGAGTACTAGTGAGCAACTCCTCCCCTCTGTATCCAGTGGATTTTAGATTCCAGCTCAAATTAATAATTTTAGATTCAAGCAAATTAATAATGAACCCAGAGATGTGGCGTCTCAGACACAGAAGAGAAAGGAACTGAAGTTACCAGCAAAATGATAATTAGAAGTGGAAAAGGGGGAAGAAAAGTAATAAAAAATGCCACCCCCCCTGCCCCTCAAGCCATCCCTATCCAATCCAAACAAGCCCTAGTGAACACAATCATGACCTGCCAAATGCAGAGCAGTTCAAACTTCTGTCTACTTTTCCCAGGTTTTACTGTGTGTGAACTGCAGCTGCAGAATCATGGTCAGTTGTTTTGACACCCTTCCATTTTTAGGCAACTCCAGAGGAGGGGAGAATAAACTAAATATAAAAACCACTCCTGGTTTTAGGAGGCTAAATTAGATTTGTGAGGCTTTATTTTGTATTGTTTTAAGTTTAAAGGGTGGGGACTCAAAAGCATCAGTATTCAGCCTACCTCAGGTCACTTGATTTTACCACCAGTTTCAATGACAGAAGAATTAAGGTGATACTGTGGATTTTGAGAAAATCCCACCCTCAATCATTCTCCAATGAGTTTTCGTTTCTTCTAGTTCTCATATGGTCCATATGACCATACTATGTGAATGTAGCCTTGTCTCTCACTGTACTTCTGGAAAGCAATCTGTCCTTTATTTTTACCATTTATTTATACTGTATTACAGGAGCATGGAGCAGCGAATAATGGACCAGAACATCATCATCTCATCATGAGCAGTGCTGTATGAACAAAGAATGAAAAGAACAGTCCCCATCATGAACAGTTTGCATTTTGACTGTGCTCTCTGTTCCTGGGGAGAGAAATTGTGTGAATTTACGTTAGGTATTAACTGCCCCTCTGTAACACTATGGGCGCGTCTACATGTTCATTAATGCTGTGTAATTACAGTGGATTAACTTTAGTACCTATAACAACAGGCACTAACTTAATGTGCCATAATCGGCACTACTATGCATTATGGCAGATGAACGCTTTTTTGTGATGTTAATGTGCAGTAGACTAAATCAACTGGTCATTACCATGGTTTTTGCCAGCCATGCTAATACGCAGTAGAATTAGTCTTCTGCACAGTAAGCGTCTTGTGTAGACACGCCCTGTGTAAAGCAAAAGTGCACTGTGAATTTGGAGCAAAAGGTGGCAAGGTTTGTGGTGGTTTTTATTTCTGTGGGAATTTTTTCCAGCCGTAGTCTGGCCCTGATAGAATTCTTTCTTCTTAGCAAACAGGCTTTGCCATTACTCTGAACAAAAGCACAATAAATGTGCATGAAGAAAAAGTGAAACGGACTATAAACAGATCAGACCATAAGCAAGAGGCTAATTCCTACAAGCCTGAGCTTACAGGAGTAGTTTTCACTTGTATGAGCAGTTCTATTGGGAAAATAAAGGACTAACCTCTTGAGTAAGGGTTTGCAGAGGTGGACTGACAGATAGGCAACATTTAGCCAATGATTTGACATATATTTAACTTCAAGTACATAAGTGGACCAGTTTTGTTGAATGGGACTG